AAAAAAAAAAAAAAAAAAACAATCTGGATTTAGGGATTTAACAAAAAATGAATCTGGCAACAGCAGACTTGCAGTCCCAGCCAGTAACAATCGCCTAGAGCCAGCCCGAGTATCCCATCAGAGAGCATGGTCCTCCCATTGGCCACAGGCCCCTCACTCCCTTTTGTCTCCTCACACTGAAGCTGAACTTCAGCTGCCATTTATCTCTGGGGGTGGCTTGCTTTCCTTAAAATCAGCTCGCCTCTCTTGCTTGTGTTCCCAGCTGAGCCTCTGACTCTCCTGTGACCCCTGGACCCTGGTTCCCACTTTCAGGACTCGGAATCCTGCCTTCCTGCCAGCCCTCCCATATGGGACTCAATTCCAGAAGTGCTGGAGACCCTCAGCAGGGACCCTAGGTAGGGGCTGCTGTTGTCCTGGCTCTCTCTCACCCCCATCCTCTCTGCCTCAGGTGGTGTCCCCGCTGACAGAGGCCGTGCTGGGGGAGACGATGCTGACAGTGACAGAGGAGAAGGTCAGCATCACACAGCTGCAGGCCCAGGTGGTGGCCAGCCTGGCCCTCTCCCTGAGGCCCAGCCCTGGGAGCAGCCACACCATACTGGCCACTACAGTGGCCCAGCAGACCCTCAGCTTCCTCAAGCAGGTAACTGGTTCCCAGGTAACCAGCCAGGGGGACACTGTCTTGCTCTTATGCCGTGAGTCCCTGAATTAGGACTTCAGGTAATGGGTGATCTGTCTGCCCTCAGAGTCCTACCCACTGCCCTACCCACTGCTCTCTGCACAGAGGCTTTGAGCAGGGTATCATTTGCTCCATTTGGCCCCACCCCCTGCCCTGAGACATTTCCACAGAGGGTCCCCTCCTGGATTCCCAGAGGGAAGTCACCTCTGTCTCACCCCCAGGAAGTACCCAAACCCATGCCTGGAGCCCCAGCCACACATCATGAGCACTGGCTTCAAGGTCAAGGTGGGCATGTGACAGGAGAGAGGACAAAGGAGTGGGAAGTGGATGTCAGCAATGGGCCAGGAGCCAGGGCACAGAGATCCTCAGCCTGGGTGTGCCTGGGTCCATCATTTCTCTTTGGGCTCAGCCTTCAAATCTGCAGGGAGGACGATCCCCAGATGGTCTTGGCTGATGGAGGAGGCAGGACTCTCCTGCATCTTAGCTTGGGGTTAGTTGAGGTTCCCAAGGTCAGGCATGGACATATGGGGCTACCTCTGTAGAACTTCCTTTAGTTTATCAAGAGGAGAGGAGCAAGTGCCCTGCACAACCTCCTCTTCACCCCCTGCACCCGTGTGAGACGGGAGCACTCCCACCTACAGGAGGGTTCCTGAGTGCCAGGTTCCATTTCATCACTGGGGCCACAGCAGAGGCAGGAGCCCTTGATCCTTGGTCTCACAAACTTAGGATCTAGCCAGAAATCCTCAGAATAGGCTCTGACTCCTGACCCTTCCTCCTCCTCTCCTCCTCCAGGAAGCCCTCTTGAGCCTCTGGCTCTCCTACAGTGATGGCACCACAGCCCCACTGTCCCTCTACAGCCCCCGGGACTATGGACTGCTGGTGAGCAGCCTGGACGAGCAGGTGGCCACAGTGACCCAGGACCGGGCCTTCCCGCTGGTGGTAGCTGAGGCTGAGGGCTCAGGGGAGCTGCTCCGCGCCGAGCTGACCATTGCTGAGAGCTGCCAGAAAACCAAGCGCAAGAGTGTGCTAGCCACGACCCCTGTGGGCCTGCGGGTGCACTTTGGGCGGGACGAGGAGGACCCCACTTATGATTACCCAGGCCCCAGCCAGGCAGGGCCTGGTGGGGGTGAAGACGAGGCTCGAAGAGCTGGTCCACCAGGCACGGGGGTCCCTGCACTGGAGGGCCCCGGCCCAGGCACATCCAGCCCAGCAGTGCCACCCACAGAAGACTTCTTGCCACTGCCCACTGGCTTCCTGCAGATGCCCCGGGGTCTGACCGACCTGGAGATCGGCATGTATGCATTGCTGGGTGTCTTCTGCCTCGCCATCCTCGTCTTCCTTATCAACTGCATCGTCTTTGTGCTGCGATACAGGCACAAGCGAATCCCTCCGGAAGGCCAGACCAGCATGGACCACTCCCACCACTGGGTGTTCCTGGGCAATGGGCAGCCACTGAGGGTACAGGGCGAGCTCTCGCCACCTGTCGGCAACCCACTGGAGACTGTGCCCGCCTGCTGCCATGGTGACCACCACAGCAGCGGCAGCTCACAGACCAGCGTCCAGAGCCAGGTGCATGGCCGGGGCGATGGCTCCTCTGGTGGTTCGGCCCGGGACCAGGCCGAGGACCCTGCCAGCTCACCCACCTCCAAGCGCAAGAGGGTGAAGTTTACCACTTTCACCACACTGCCCTCGGAGGAGCTGGCCTATGACTCAGTGCCCGCGGGTGAGGAAGATGAGGAGGATGAAGAGGAACTGGGTTGGGGCTGCCCGGATGTGGCAGGCACCACAAGGCCTACTCCACCTCCAGACCTGCAAAATTACATGCGCAGAATCAAAGAGATTGCATAGAGGCTCCGTCCGGGGTGGCTGGAACATCCCCCATGCCGTCTGCTCTGGGTGGGACTCGGCCAGGACCTCCATCTAACACTGATGCAGGGCCAGCTGAGTGATTTTATATCCCTTGCCCTTGCAGCTTTGCTCTGAGCCAACAGTCACCTCCCTGGTGTGGCCCTGCCTGTTGCCCACCTTTACCCTCTCACGCCCCTGCAGGTGGAGGGCTCCTTTCTCCCTGGCTTGCAGGAGGAAAGCGATGCCAGCTGAGCTCTACCCTTTCCAAATCTCCCGTCTCCAGCAACACCTGCCCCCAGAGTGAGGCTCAGAGGCCACCGGCTCCTGGGCGAGGTAGGCCCACATTGTACCCGGCCCTGCCTCCTGAGTACCCTGTCTTTCCCCTTGTGCAGGGCAACCTGGGGGGTTTTGTGTCACAGGCTGCACAAAGACTTTTCTCAAACCAATATTCAGGGATTTCCATCCTGCAGGGTGGGGAGGTGGCACAGCTGCCTGCCTTGCCAAGGATCTTGCTTCGGACAAAACATTTGGGGGTTTGGGGACAGTTGTGGCAACTGCAGGCTCCCTGGTGCCTCCCAGGTCCTGAAGCTGACTTGATAGAGAGGTCTGGTGTCAAGCAGGCACCTTCCAAGGTTCTTCCGGGGCTGTGACAGGACCCCATGCAGGAGGAGTCCTCATCTCTGTCTGGCCACACCACACCCCCACACTGTGGTCCTCGGGCCCCAGGGAGACTGGGTGCCCCTCTGCTGCAGCAAGATCAACACTAGCACACCTTAGCCGCCCAGCTGTGCTCACACTGCTTCCCTCTGTGCCCAGGGAGGGCAGTCACTATCTCCCCAGTGCAGAATCCCTGGCTGGGAGAAGAAGGCACGTGGGAGGGTGTGAAGGACCTAGGGAGTGCTAAAGTCAGAGGGAGCAGGCACCTCCACTTCTCCATCCCATGGCCACTTTCTCTGGGTTCTGCCCACCACTGTGCTGGATTTTTCATAAATAAATGGAGGCCACCAGACTGGGGTGGGGGCAGCAGCTCCCAGCAAACAGATGGTACACGTGGCTGACTCTGTCTCTTCCTTGTGCATATGAGCATGTACACACATGCATGCACACACACACACACACACACACACACACCACACACACGCCGCTCCTGCTCTC